CATGAGTTCATTTTGATTTTTGAAATTGCAAACACATTATTTCAAAAATATCTATATTTTAACTTGCATTCAAATGGATTTCAAAGTTAGAAGTCAATATTTTGTGCTAAAAGTCAGAAATGCTTCAAATCTTCATAATAGTTTTTTTCCCATCACTAATGTGATAATTCTTTATCTTAATATACTATCCTATGCTTGAACTGCTAAATCTTATCTTCTAACAAGTTAGACCTTCAGACTAACAAGTGAACCATCTATATAAGTTTCAACCCTATCTTTACAGAAATTTTCCAATACATCAAAGCCTTACGCTTAACATGTTCATCCTTATTGGTCAAGTTATTCTAAGCATGATAATTTATTAACTATTTCAATGGAATAACTTATATACTTTTTAGAACCTATTTAACATACTAATCATTTCAACTAACAAGTTAATGTGTTGTGCCGTTCAAAAATTTCAGAATTTGAGTATGCTCTTTGAACCTTTATTTTGCAAAGCCCTTTTGACTAATACATTATCCATATGACTTCTGCCTTAGGAAATTTTTCTAAATGTGTTAACACTATTTCTTAACATGTTATTCGATCTGATCTTACAAAGTGAAGCTATCTGATATTTTTTTCCTCAAATTGTTGGCTTCCTTTTTTTTTATAACAAAAGTATTTGCTTTTAACAAGCTTCAAAAGGTAGTTTTCAACATTCATATTTTAAATAATTGCATTAAAAACCTTATTTCAAAAGAAAGATATCAAAGTAGAATTCATTTCTACTAATCATCAACTTGCAGACTTTTTCACAAAACCTCTTGCCCAATAATAGTTTATTTTCATAAGAAGAGAATTGATAATGGTAAATCTCAATGAGTTAGTTTGTAAAAGATTGTGTTGCAAGAATTCTCTATTTCCTTTTGAGAAGGATGAGTTACTCCAATACTTTATCAAAATTCAGTAAAGCAAGAAGAGAAGATTCTCGAAGAATCACTTGAGAAGCATATTTCAGGAACACTTATTTGAGAATGAAAAGAGAAATGTTCTAAAGAAAAGAGGGAGAATTTCTGGAGAATAATCTCGAGAATTGTATTATTGGAGAACATAATCAAGAATAAGAAAGGAGATAGTAATTTGGTTTTTAGTGACTTTTTAAGAATGTGTTTGAGACAATTGTTTCAAATTTGAAGAAGAATAAGGATTTCTTGAGAACTTATTCGAGAAACAAAATTATCAAGCATATTGTTGAACAACTACCTTCTCGATATGCTATTCGAAGAATTTACATGGCACAGGCAATATCTTTTTATGATCTCAATATTTTTCCCTCTATCTATTCTCGACAACTTCTTCAAGAAAGGAACTTCTCGAGAACATCATTGAGAACTATCTGCTCATATATAACTTCTTTGTATTTTCTTCCCACACTTTTTAAAACCCTATCTCAATAGTCTCTTCAAGAATCTCCACTGTTCATTATCCTTATTTCAACTTCCTCCACTTCCCTTTCCCTTTACAATCTCTTAATTTTGTCTTTATGCACTAATTAAGGGAAAGCTTCACATGTGTCTTATATCTTAAAAACTCATCTCCTTTGTCAAAAACTACATACTCATCTACATTACTATCAATTGATTAGTTTTGATGATGCGTTGTTTTCACATTTTCCGTTCATGATCTAATTTGAAAGCACTTTAAAGAAAGGATTATTTATACATCTAATATTTGATTGTACTAACTATTCTCCTTACAAGAAAATTGTTGAATTTATGATAGGACAATTTGTAACTAAATTATATTAATTTTAAAAAAAATTCACTGACACACTTTGTAGTGGTTTCTAAAACTGCAACAAAAGTAAAACCGTTTCAAAATTTAAAACCGCTACAATCCCATAATACCCACTAAAAATTACACCCACCCTATATAAATATCCCCACTCCCTCTCATTTTTTTCTCACATCTTCTCCTCTCCTCCTCTCTTTCTCTCCATTGCAATTTCTTTTTTTTGCCTTATAAAGTTATTTTTATTTTGTTGCATTATTAATTTTATTTTGCTAATATTTCTTTTTAATTTTTTCATGCAAGACTTATTCGCTATTATCTACTCTTTCTAATCCATTTCTTATCTTCATAAATAACATCTCAATAATTTTTATATTTTAAATTCTAAATATTATAATAAGTATTTTTCATTTAATATTTAAAATGTTAACAAAATTTTCCTAACATAAAATTTAATGAAATTCCATCTCCCAACTATATAAACCATATTTAATTTATGAATTTTACCTTATAAATTTAATTGCAAACCCAATAATGAAAATAATTTTTTAAGATCAATTCAACATTTGTAGCGGTTATAAAACCGCTACAACGGACATAGATGGCGCTATTTTTCTTAAATTTGGACATTTGTAGCGGTTTTTTATACCGTTGTAAATTCCTTTCGCGTCTTTTTTTTCTTCAAATTTTTGCAATTTGTAGCGGTTCTATAAGCGCTACAAATTTTGGTGCCATTGTAAATTTTTTTGGAAAATTTTGTGTCATTCATTGTAGCAGTTTTATGTACTGTGATAAATTTTCAAATTTCATTTCCCGTTGTACATTTGCATTTGTAGTGGTTTTGCTACAAATTGTCACAAAGTGACCTCATCCATGACGTTATTACTAGCGGTTAAGAAACTACAACAAAATTACTGTTGCTGTTAAACTTCTTGCACAATAGTTTCTGCAAATTGCTACAAGACCATTTGTTTTGGTGGGTTTTGTAGTCATTCATAGCAGTTAAAACCGCTACCAATCAATCACTAAATTAAACTGTGACAAATTGCCATTTTGTTCGGTAGTACATATACGTGTTTAAATGGGTTGGTCTTGTATTGACAAGCTTAGGTTTAAATGCGCTAAGCTTGAAGCCCACTTAGGCTACAAGAATGCTTTTTCGGGAGCCTAACCCTTAATGAGCTTGGATTTAAACAGGCTCGGTCCATTTTTCTTGCTACATTATAATGTTATTGGATTTCTTTCTCTTTTGATCACCTCTAGAGGTTAGGAGCGGACCTACATTGGTTGTAAAATATAATAATAATCAAGTCTCATAATAAAAATATTTTGAAAAAGTTACCACTAATTTAGAATCTTATATTCCTTTTAGTCAAATTGGTAATATTTATATTGGACAATTGCCACAAAGACTACTAATTTAAAATTTTAAATAATCTTCAGTTATTTAGGTGATATGAATAGTTTATATGGACTTTAAAATAACGTATCATTTATCATAAAAATAGTAATTATTCTGGCGTAAAAAAAATTCTGGATTTGATGGTAAGGGAGAAAATGATTTTTCTTTTATTTCTTTTTTCGGTGTGAAAAAGATAAAGATTCTAGTAGGTAGGGTCCCATTCCCATTTCCTTAAATTATCTTCTTTTCCATAGCTCATATCAATGGGAGCAGATAGGCATGAAACACACACCCACTTGTTCTTTAATAAAACAAACAAAATGCATATACTAAAAGGAAGTTTAATTCCATAATTTTATAAACTATTAGTATTTTTTCCAGTTTTTTTTTAACCATAACCCTAATAACTCTCAAACGATGTTCTTTTTGGTGCCAACCATTATTATTTAAAAAAAGATAAACTTAGCATTTGTGAATATTTCGTTAACATTAAAATTTCAATGTGGATATTTTTCTAATTAAACTAACAATGTTAGGGTTAAACTTAAAAACTAGAAAAACACTTTATAAAATTAAAGGATGAAAATAAAAATAGTTAATTATAAGATGAAAGATGCACTTTTACTAATAAAAAAATTTAATTTAACACCAATACACAAGCTTTCAACATTTAAAATTAACTACTATCTCTGGTTATTAATATAAGAGCTGGATAACTAATTTATAAATATTAAGAAAATTAATTAGGTTAGTTATTTTGTTATCAATGAGCATTACTTTCCTAAAATATTGTTATTAATCATGTCCATTAGAATGAAAACTTTTTAACACGTGTAATCATCATGGAGACTACTTTGGAAAAAATATAAATAATTATAGGAGACAAAATAGATTGAAATCTTATATTTAGAACAAAATTGAATTTCCAACTAGCTCTTATATTTAGAATTAGAGATAGTATAAAGTTTTTAAGATGTTATATTTCTTTCCCAATTAATAAATCATACTGGTACTTATAAATAATTCGTGAGTAATACAACATTTAATCCTTAATATAAGAGCTAAATAACTAATTTGCAAAAATTACTGAAATTAGTTAAATGAGTTATTTGTAATAAATAAGTATTGTCTTTTCTAATATATTTTTGCTAATCATGTGCATTAGAATGAGAAACTTTTAACATATGCAATCACTATGAGACTGCTTTGGAAAAAATGAATAAATATAAGAGACAATATAAATTGATATCTTATAGTACTACTTCTGGTCCTTAATATATGAGCTAGTTGACTAATTTGAGTAGATTAAAAAAACTAATTAAGTTAGTTATTTGTAATAAATAGGTATTGTCTTTCCTAAAATATCCTTATTAATCAAATGTATTGGCTAGAGCTACTATTATTACAAGGACTACTTTGAGGGAAAAAATAGATAAATATGAGAGATAAAGTTAATTGAGGTCTTATAATTAGGATCAAAATAAAAGTTAAATGAGCTCTTATATTAAGGAATGGAGGTAGTAGTATTTATGATCAAATTGAATTTCTAACTAACTCTTATATTTAGGACAAAAGATAGTGTAAAATTTCATGCCTTGATAAAGCTCATTTAAGTCCAAGTAAAAAGTGAAAGAACCCGTGAAAATATGAAATCCATGATCCATCACGCCTCTCTCTCTCTCTCTCTCTCTCTCAAGCACACACAAATATTAAATATTATATATATTAAATTTATTCTTTCCGACACTTATCCCTTCCTTCACGGCCTATAAATTGCACCTTACATCACTTCACTCCTCACATATCTCAGAGAGAGTTTGAGTGAGAGATGGAAGCAAAAATGGAGAGCTTTCCGGTTATTGACATGGGGAAACTTAAAACTCAAGAGAGATCTTCAGCCATGGACCAAATAAAAGATGCTTGTGAGAACTGGGGTTTCTTTCAGGTAATTAAATTATATTCATATTTCATTCCTCTTCCATTAGTATTACTATGGTTTTTTATTACTTCTTTATTACTTAAATAATCACTCGAATCTTTCCCACTTTAATTAGCATCACACTAAAATAATAATCAATTTGATCGATTTGATAAGCCTTTGTTAGTGATAACTAAGTTTGTTCTGGCTCTCTCTCTCAATATTCTTGAAGTTGGTGAACCATGGGATATCAAAAGAGCTGATGGACACTGTGGAGAGGCTGACAAAAGAGCACTACAAGAAGTGTATGGAAGAAAGGTTCAATGAGATGTTGGCTACCAAAGGCTCAGAATTTGCTCATCAATCTGAAATAATAATCAATGACTTGGACTGGGAAAGCACTTTCTTCCTACGCCATCTTCCCCACTCCAACATCGCAGAGATCCCTGATCTTCATGATGATTACAGGTATAACTTCCATATTATTTAAGGTATTTTATGAAATTATAAGGACAATTTCACTAAATTATATAACACTCTTCTGAACTTTATGTCATACGTAAATAACCTCCCTGATCTTGGAAACTTTACAATAAACATCGCTGAACTTTTACTAGTTTTGTTTATTATTATTATTTATGTACAAATAGCTTAAAGTTTAAGAGGTTTTCTGCATATAACTTAAAGTTTGAGAGGTGATGTGCATGCCCAAATGGTATAAAAGTGATAGTTTTGGGGTTAGAAAATAAAGAGACTTGAAAGTTTAGGGGTTTATTATTAAATTTTAAAGATTAAGAAAGTTATTTGTACTTTATTCTAAGTTAAACAGAATTTTTTTTGGTAGCTTAGCCTATTTTTTTAACCTAATATTTCAACTAAAGTATATCAAAATCACTTGCATCCCGTTAGAAACAAATAATTAATTGATATTCCATAAAATAATTTACATATTGAATCCTAGGACTTCATTTAAGGAAAATTCTTATATTTGAATAATAATTTTTGAATTTTTCAAACATAGAAAAACTTACAACTTTGTAATTTTATGGTAGTTTTAAAACTCTGTCTCAAAATAATGAATTCAAATCTGAGACAAGGATACTAATTAATAAAGTTTATTTGTACTTTCTTTTGTGTTCAGGAAGGCAATGAAAGAATTTGCTACTGAATTGGAGAAACTAGCAGAGTTACTTTGTGACTTATTATGTGAGAATCTGGGTTTGGAAAAAGGTTACTTAAAGAAGGTATTCTATGGGACAAAGGGCCCTAACTTTGGGACCAAAGTGAGTAACTACCCTCCATGTCCCAAACCAGAACTCTTCAAAGGACTTAGGGCTCACACAGATGCCGGTGGCATCATCCTTCTCTTTCAAGATCCCAAGGTCAGTGGACTTCAGCTTCTCAAGGATAATCACTGGATTGATGTCCCTCCATTGCCCCACGCCATTGTCGTCAACCTCGGAGATCAGCTTGAGGTATGTGCATTATTATCAAATTCAATATATTCAATTCTTCAGTGTGATACATATTTGAAGGCTAGAATTAGTTTCTTTCTTTACACCAAGCTATATTGAAATCGGACATATTATTGAATCAATCAAGACAGTGGTTCAAGAATTAACAATTCAACTGTGTTTGACGCAATAAACCCCATTATAATTAAAATAATATAATTTAATCAAAAATATAAAAATATTCATATATAACCCTAAAAAATTAATATTTAAATAAAATGCATTAATCTACGGGTAAGCATAACATTCATGTTTAAATTACACATAATCTAACAAAACAAATTTACTAAAGTGTAAATTTAATTTGACGTAGTTTTATTTTTTAAACTCAAAATGATGTTATTTTAGGCTCAAGAAAGAGATAAAAAATAATCTACTAGTCGACTTGTCAAAAACTTTTGACTGAACTAGTCAGGGGATTGGTTCATCGATTCACAAGTATGACTGGCTGGCATGGGTTGGGTTGGGGCAATCTCAGCCATAAACATATACATAAGCACATGATTGCACCAAAATAAAAAATTGCAGAAAAAATAGATTAGGAGTAAAATTGTTCCACTAAAAAAATTAGGGTGCTGAATGCATATGAAAAATAAGATTATTGGTAAAATTTCTCTTTCACCTTTCTTTTTCCTTTTTTAATGGTGCCTAAATCCTAATTGATGTAATTTTTGGTGGTTAATTGTATCATCTCAGGTCATTACAAATGGAAAATACAAAAGTGTGATGCACCGTGTGATCACTCAAACAGATGGAAACAGAATGTCAATAGCCTCCTTCTACAATCCAGGAAACGACGCCGTTATATCACCAGCTCCATCCTTGGGGATGATGAAGGAAGATGACAAGATAATAAACCAACAAGTTTACCCAAAATTTATCTTTGACGATTACATGAAGCATTATGTTAGCCATAAATTCGATGCTAAAGAACCAAGATTTGAAGCCATGAAGGCCATACCAACTCTGTGATTCTGCTTGCTTACAGGGAAACATTATATTATGTCATCCCAATACCATCTTTAGTCTTTGAAATTTAACTTTGTTTTGGTTTTGATGGTCTCAAAATTTAAAACCAGTTGTTTTGGTCCCTAAACTTTGATTTTATTTTGGTCTACCTAAAAATTTCTGGTCATTTCAAGGAATAAAACCACTGATTTCAAATTTCAGGGATCAAAATCAAAACAAGATCAAATTTCAGGTACTAGAGATAATATTAACCCTATATCATATTGTAGATTCTGTATGGTTATATATGGAAGTCTATTGTGGATGGTGGAATATAATCTACCGACTTTTATAGGTGAAAATAAGTTTTGGTGTGAGTGTGAAGCCTTTGTGGTGGTTATGTTAGTGGCTTGTACTGTACTTATGTTTGGAAGGTATATATGATAATAACTACTAAAGTCTTACCCGTTGTGCAAGAAACTCTCTCATAATAATTCCTTTTTGGCTTGATTATGATTTATGAATTGTGATTATAATAATGCAGCAGAGAGGCTTGAAGTGATCTATAGTGGATCTTGATCCGTATGCTTTTTCTTTAATAAATCTTTTGCAAGTTCTCTCTTTGGATTCCTCTCATGCATGATCAGTTATGAGAACTCTCAGTTTGGTTTTTAAAAAGAAAAAATCAAATAGCCCTATACATGTCAAAATTAATTATGAACTCGAAAGTAACTAAACCCCTTAATACAAGCCATAATCAATTATGAACTCAAAGTTTGGTGAAAAAGACAATTATGAATCCAAAGTCATGGTTGTGTCATAAATTACCAAACACCCCTATACACATGCCAAAATTAATTACAAAATTTTAAAAAATTGAAAATAGTAACTTATGAGATAATCTTTTTTTTTTTTCTGGTTCATTTGATTTTGGCATGCATAACTACGGTTGATTATACTTAATTTTTATCAACAACAAATATATTTTTGAAGACAAATTTTTTTTTATCCAGGACCATAAAATTGAATTACCATCAGGACTTCTCAAGATTATACTTTTAATTTTCTCTCTAAGTTATTGAGTGATGAATGCATAAAAATGGTAACTTTGAAATATTGCTAATTCTAAAGTATTTTGAAAACACTTCTACTTTTTCATATCATAAATTATAAATTATAAATGACATGAACTCTAGGTCCTCAACCGCTATTTCTTTCCAAAATGTATAGCTTTTGACTGTGAGAAACTGACAGGAATCCTAAAATATTATCTTTTTTTGGCCAAAGAATCCTAAAACTATTATAACGACCATGGATATTGGAAAGCAACCAACCTATGATTAATATAATGTTGAGAACTTAAAGTTGGTCGAAGAGCAACACGGATGTCTCTGAAAAACAAAACTAAAATACAAGCTACTATCATAAAAGAATGGAAATAATGAGTTCCTTAGTCAATTGATGTATTATTAAAATTTTGACTCTACCTGGCAATTTTATTGGTTACTGATTATTAATAATCCAAAATGTAACAAAACTGTCTATCTGTAGTTGTTCATAAAATATTGAGATACAACTAATGGAGTTGAGTCTTACAGAAGTGGCAAATCCTCCACAATGTGGTGAATTAATATTTAAAATTTTGTTTGGAGACATGTCTACATGTAGTGTCCATAACGTCTTGAACATAATTATTTTCAATAGGAAGATGCCCATGCCTACAAAAAAAAAAAAAACAGGGGGGGAGAGAGAGAGATACAATTATTATCGCTACTGTTTGTGGTCATTATGCCTTTAAAGATTAGAATGCATTTATAGGCCCTTTGATTCGTGGAATTAGTGAGAGTATACTCGAATGTAGTGGTTAATTTGAAATAAAATATAAAATAAAAGGGATTACCATAAGTATGATTGGTATATATGACTTCAAATAAATGTATTATGTATATAATTAAATATAAATTAATGTACGATGATTAAAATAGCATTATCAAATTAGAAAATTCCAACTCTCCTATTCTTTTTGTCCTTCTTTCTCATCACCTCTTTCCTCCTTCCAAGATTATATTTGAAAAAAATGTAAATGAGGCTGTTATTTAAAAAATAAAAAAAAGAAGAAACAAAGCATGATGTTGTCGTTTACCTCCTTCCATATTTATATTTCAGAAAACTGAAAAATAACAAAGTGCTCCCTCAAGTCCTTATTATAAGGCATCAACTAACAAGTATTTTTTTGTCATTTTTATGAGGCATTTGCTTAGTTTCAAGAAGCGTTAAATGTTTTTTTTTTTTTTTGCCATATATGCCCATATTTAATAAGGATACTGAGAAAGTAAAAATTTATATGATGTTTGAGTTTAGCATAGTTAAGAAAGGTAATACTAAAAAATACTTGAATTTTATGACAAGTTTAATGGTTTAATTGCTTTTACTGGTATGCGTGGATTAGTTAGAAATGAATTTTAATAGCCAGCGACAGGTTTGCTATGGGTTTTGAGAAAGAGCCCAACTAGGATGAAGCTCTAGAATGAAAATCGAGACTAATGGATTCAAGGAAAATTTGAAAGGGGCACCATGCGCAAAAAGATTGAGTTTCTCTGTAAATTAGGAGGAGGGAGAGAGAACATGACGTCTAATCACCGCTAGAGATAGCACAATATCAAGCCCTGCTTCAGGGAGGCTGAAAGGCAACGGCATAGAGGAAAAAGATTATTGTGTTGTGTAGCTAGGAGAACTCTCAAATATATTTCATGAAAGACGACAATGATGTTGTCACATCCTAAAAATTTTCATCTGGCAATAAAGAATCAAAAATTAGGATGAGGGTCAATGTAGGAACTAAAAGGGGAGATGAAACAACTTTTAATATGAAACCTTGAAAAGATGTGGACTGACATTTTCGTAATTATCGGTTTAGGAAGGGCAAAACAGGAAAATTTCAAAAAAATTTCAAAAAAATCCCCAAAAAATGAGAAAATTCTAGAGTAGAGGTCTTGGAAACTCAGTTGAGGCCCGAAAAGTGAAATTTCGGTGAAAATGAATTATTACGAAATTTTCCGTAAACAAAGGTTTTCCGGGAATTTATTAGGAAATTGAAGGAAAATAATTATTTTAATTTGTTAGAGGCCTCAATAAATTTGGAAGATTGATGAAAAATTCATCTAAATATTTATTTGAATTTATAAAATTTGTTTTAGGCCTTGAAAACTCAGAAATTAATTTTAGAAAATTTATTTTCTCCCAAAACTACTGATAGAGGCCTAATCGGAGAAAATTAAAAATAAATATCTAGAGGTGATAAAAAATTCTGAAAATTTTCAGATCATATTACCATATTAAGAGGTGAATTATCATGGAGAGAAATAAATTTTTAAAGGTCTGAAAAAATTTTGAAATGATACCAGTGAATAGTGACCGATAAAGTTTCTAATTAGTCTGAGATAGTGATTTGGTTTGCAGGCCATCTTTTTGGGCCAGCCCAAAATATTTGTGGGGCCCACAATGGAGCCATTAAAGGCTCAATTTCATGCACTTTTCAGATTCCATCATTTTTATTAAATAAAAAGTAAAAATCAAGAGAAAATGTTTGGACAAATCTAGTGCAAGGCCACATGTTCAAATCTAATCAATTCCCACACTTGATGGCTGCCACATAACCCCATTGAGCTGTCCCAATTTGGTCAAATCAGGAGGGAGGAGGAGCAGCTCATTTTCTCTATAAATACCGCTTGAAAATACAAAGAAAATGTGAGAAAATTGGAAAAATAAGGGGAGACTCTGCCACTGTTCATCGAGCCCTATTTTTTGAAAATCTTGAGGTGTTTTAGGCAAGGAATCATCCAACTTACTTGAAGAAAACACTAAGGTATGTCTAAGCATCAACACCCCTAAGTTTTATATTGATTGGTTAAGATTTTGCTTCGAAAAATGCTAGAAATTCTACCAAAATTCGGTTTGAATGTGTGATGCTTAGGAAAGGATAGAAATCTTAATAATCAAGTGGAATAAGTAAGATTAAGTGATCTATGGATTGATTTTTGGATGAAATCAAAGTTAGGGTTTAAGGGGAGAATTTTGGACAGCACTATTCATGCAGGAGCTTATTGATTTTTCTTGATTTGATGATTGCAATGGCTTTAAAACATGTTTTTGTGTAGGGATATGATGTTAGAAAGTGTTTAAAATCATTGGAATCAAAAATAGAATTTTTAGAAATAAATACCCCCTATTCGGCCAGTCACTATTCACAAGGGAGGAGTTTGGATTTTAAAAAATCTAATTGCACCATTGAATTCCTCATGAAAAATTGTGCAGGATTGACTCAAGAGATGATTGATTCTAAAGAAGAAATCAATTTGTTGAAAATCCAAGAAAGGGGGGGAATTGTTAAGTTAATGTTAGTGTTGAAACCAAGTTGTTTTGTGATTAATACGGCCTATGTTTAATAGGCATCGAGAGGAGGAATTAAGGAGAACCATTGCTCCTTGGAGGAATTAATTGGACAAGCTTTACAAAGGTAACTTTGAATTATAATTTGATTGTTTATCTTGCTTGTTTTTTGTGATTGTTGTTGCTTGGATTGGAGGAACTTTGTGGTGACCTTGATTGTTTGATTGACAAGGGTTATGTTTTGGCCAAATGCTTTCTGATATGTCAATGTGGATAATATGATGTTTCTCTCGTTGCATGATATGTGGCATGAATTCCTATGAGTTGGGAATGGTTTGGAGTGCATGAACATGTCACAATTAAACTTGTATTGATTTACATGATAATTATAATTCATATGTTACAGTGATTTCTTTGAAATCTCATTCCTCCTATGTTATTTTATGTACTAATTAGGAAGTTGACCAAGTATGGAGCAAGGAAAGGAATTGACCTTGGGATAAAGAAATTTTATGAACATTATATTATGGTGAATTGTTTTGCAATGTATAATGAACTTTACATGGATTTTATAACAAGCTATGGATGATATTACAATGTAATTTGTATGGTTATTCCATGTTTCAATGTTGGAATTATGCTTGATGCATTGTGGTAAGGATGTGGATGAAGGAAAAAGAAGAAATAAATCAAGAAAATGGAAATTAGGGGATAGAAATTCCCTAAAAAGTGTCAAACTTGTGGCATATAAAATAATAATCAATTGTTGGAGTTTGGACATGAAATTTTGCAGGAAATTAGATCTCATTTTTAGCTTTAAAAAAAGTGGTAATTCATTAAATTTGGAGTTGTGTGCTAAGAGTTATGCGCTTCCAAAATTGAGCAAAAATATTAAAAATTCGAAAATTTACCAAATAAACAGTATACTTTGACAAATTTTCTGAAATTAGTCTAGATGGAATTGGACCTAATGATTATTTTTTATCCATATAACTCTTAGTAAGCTTTGTGTGAAAATTGGAACCACTTCGTTTTGATTTTTCTAGATTTAGTTATGAATTTTCAAAGTTAGCCCATTTTCGATGAA